ATAAGTATATACATCCGAACCTATAAATATTGATAAAAAATCAAATGACGTTAAGGAAAAAAAGGAAATGGAAATTATGAACAGAAGAAAGATCAATAATGACTTCTGAAATGTGGTGTTGATGTGTGTTTATAAATGTAAAATTAAATGAGGTCATTATTAACTGAGAATTGGTAAAAAAAAAATGAATTATATGCTGGTGAAAAGCTTGTTTTCGAGTAAATGGGTTGATGAGAAAATTTATTCAAGAAAGTTGAAATCTACACATACACTTCCTATTAGATTATTGGATAATTTAAGACATTTTTATTGATATATTTTCAAATGTCATGTGATGTTATGTCATGTCATGTTAATTGAATATTTCATGGTGAGGTTGGGTAAGGAAATAGAAATTTGTTCAGCAATTGGTCCTCATGTTTTCCACTGACAAAAATAAGTTCGGCTCTTACAGTAGACGTTGCAGTTCATTCAATAAAATCACCCTCTGAAATGGAGTGACTATATTGAATCAATTACTGCGTATACTGCTAGAGAAGTTGGTTTACTGTGTCATGCTAGAAAATCTTTCTCGTTAGAATCCATCTACCATTCATCCGTGCATCGGATACTGGTGCCATATCTAATCTGGGGCTCTTGTATATCTCAAGATTTTTGACAAAATTCAAAGAAGGATCTGTAGTATAATCGATCCTGACCTGGCATCTCGACTTCAGTCAATTTCTCATCGACATGACGTGGCTTCACTTTGTCTTTTCTACAAATATTTTCATGGCACTTGTTCCGATGAGCTTTTTTTCCTTAGTTCCTCGACTCCATGAATTTACACGTGATACTAAATTGGCAACTAGGTCTCATTGTTTTACTGTTGACCTAGCTAGATGCAACCGCTACTTCTATTCGAAAAGTTTATTTTCTCGTACCTCTCCCCTGTGGAACTCATTTCCAATTTCTTGCTTTCTTGATAACTACAATCTTCAAAAATTTTTTCAACTTGAATCACCATTTTCTGTCTTCCTGGACCCTGTTCCATTATCCTTTCATTATTTTTATAAGAATTAATTTAATTTTAAAAAAATTTTAATTAGAATAAAGTATGAACTTTTAAAACTGTATTAATTTGTAGTAGTCAAGTGAGATAGTTATTAAATTAAAACTGTATCTACTAATCATAAATGGAAAACGATCCCCCAGTATTTTAAAAATAATTTTGAATTTTTTTATGTGCATCGGTTTTTGTAAATACGGACATTATCAGAAAATAAAAGAGGTACCTATAGTAAATTTAAAATTTGTTGGTAAATTTAGTTTTTTTTCAATAAGGCCAAAGTACCTTAAATTCAATAAAATATTAGAATGCTTAAAAAAATACTTTAAATTTTTAAGATTACTGAGTAGTTAATATATATATATATATATATATATATATATATATATATATATATATAGGTGTTCATATTCTTTTTGTCGTGTAATTTTTCTTCAATTATGTCCCACTTACTTAAATTTCTCAAACATCAAACTGTCAATAAATCACTCAACACTTCAAAAAACACTCCTCCCCAAAAAGTGCTTTTCTGTGATATTTAAAAACTAATATTTGGTTCAATTCAGATCAATTAAATTTTAAGTCTTAAATCTTAAATTTTAAATCTTTCTCAAATAACGGTTTAAAAATGTACGCGGTATTCTTGAAAGATTTTTTTAATAAAGTGAATTATATGTTGTGGTGACAGATCTGTCAATGTAGACGAATTTATAGATTTTACTGGTAATGAGAAAATTCCAATCAATGTAAATTCGGTTTTGTCTATTGGAAATAATTAATCTATTAACTTGGAATTAAAAATAAATTAAAACTTTTTTAAAATGCATTTTAAACTTAGGTATCGTTTTGCTTTTTTGGAGGTATCTAAATTAAATAAAACCCCATTTCTTGTGTTGGTGTTAACACAAGTAAATCTATTTAAGTTTTTATTTCTGTGTGAGCAATAAATGTGTTTTAGTTTTCTGCTAACTCAGCCACAAAAAATGTATACGATATCTTTCTTTACTTATATTCGAACACTGGCTACAATTTGAAGAGGTGTTTATGAAAGCGTAAACTTCTAACAGTCAGTGGTAGCCCTATATTTTGGGTGCCCTGGAGCTTGATCAGATATGGGGATCCCTTCGCAACCAGCAACAATAGATTCGCAGATCTTACTACCAATATGTAGGCTATGTATATGTAGGCTAGGATGGCAAGCTCAACGATTGGGGTTCAGGCGATACAACCCCCCCTCTTACACGCACACATGAAACTTTGAAATTTAACCAGTTATACGAGAATTTTGACTTTGAGGCTATATGAAATGGGTATCATTAGAGCATAAGGTTAATTTTTTTGGCTTATGATTTTATCACTAAAATGGCCTTATTCTCTAATTAATAACGAATATACTTTTTTTGTTAAAAAAATTCACTCATTAAAAAAGTTACTTCAGGGACCCCCCCCCTCTGGGATTAGGGCCCTGAAGCTTAAACTTCATTAGTTTCATCCACCGCTGCTACCAGATATCTTTCCTAATTTGCAGAAAAATGTTTAATGTTTACGTTCATTATTCAGAACGTACAGAGCATCAGTTTCCATTCCGCAAATCATTTACATTTTACAATTACAGAAAAACTTATCATTCATTTTCCTTTTTTATTTATCTATTTATTTGTTTTTTTTTAGGAGTTGAAGTTTTGTTGTGGTAATTTTATTGTGTATTTCCAATCCCCTCAGATCACGGGCTTCTAAGTGGATTTTGTTTCCATTCTTGATAGAAATTTTTTTTTTAAATTGACAATTTGTTATCCACAATTATCAATTCGTTTTTAATGATTTTGAAAAGAAAAAACAGACTTTTAAAAATCTTTCTTTTATTGGAAACATATGAAATAAGTTTTCAAACACGCGGAAATAAATAAAATAAAAGAATTGGCAATTGGAAGAGTACCGATGACCATAAAAAAATTATGAAAAGGTTTACGGTCTTCACCATTGTATAATTGACTAAGCAACAGCTGTAAATTATCTTTTTAAACTTAAAAGAAACAGAAAAACAGCTGACACAGAATTGGAAAAGGTTGAAAAAGAAATTAATCAAAAACATCAAAATGAGAGGACTGTCAATGAGAGAGTGTTTTACTTTTAATTAATGTTCGTCTTGGAATATATTAAGCAATCAATAAAATATTAACTTTACAATATAGTACCACTATTCTGACAATACAATATTCAAGAAAGTACAGGTGAGGAAGAGGCGAAAGAAGAAGAGGAACAAGAAGAAGAGGAGAAGAAGAAGAGGAGGAAGAAGAAGAAAAAGAGGAAGGACGGCAACAACATGCATTCGTTTCTTTAAATGAAATATTTAGATTGATTTGAAAATGCTTTCTATTTCCACTCCCAGCTCAAATGATAGGCCTCATAATCTCGTATTAAAAATTAAAATACATTTCTTCAAATTATAATGTTTTCACTCAAAACAAAGAAGAAAAAAAGAAAAACACAGCCATTGCCGTTTTTAACGTTTTTTTAGCAGCAGTAGTAATAATTTGCTTTCACAGAACCAGATGTACGTCCAAGTTGATTGCATCATTCCTCTCATAAAATAGCATGAAAATCATGATTTCCATTGTGATTACATTTTATTTTGACTGTTTGCTTTGAAAGGTTTTAAATTTTTGCAACCTAATTTAAATTTTAAAAACATCTAAAATCCATATTCCTCCCCAGTTGCAATAAAGGTTTTTTTTTATCAAAGTATTTTTGTGCGTCGATCATTACACGTGAAAAAGAATTTTTGGCAGATATTTCTGTGTACAAAACTCAGCTTTTAAAATAATTGATGACAGCTTAAAATAATTAAGGAATATCCAAACAACAAACATGAATCAAATTCAAGTAATTTTTGTTGCTGCTGCTGTTAATAGCTTTTCAACGCTTTTTTAAATATTTATTTTATGTGAATTTTCATACCAATTTCATAGTTTTGTTTTTAAATAAAGCTACAACTAAACATAATTAATCCTTTTTCATGTATTCGTTTTAAAAATAAAATTTTCAATTTCATTATTTAACACTTTTTACCTTTTCTACCGATTTGATAAAAAATGTAAAAAAAAACTGAAAAATTTTGAAACTGAAATACATTATTGTTTTTGCAGAAAATCATTGGTTCATAATATGCTGCTGAAAAGATATTTTCATAAAAATTGTGGTGGTGAAAAAGAAAAATTCAAGTCAAATTCCGACTTTCTTTGATTAGAAATTATCAGTTCATTCAAGCGCAGATGCAATCATTCATAAAAGAAAGATAGAAAAACTGATTATTTCGGTTTTAAGAAGCTCATAAATCCTACCAAACCACAAACGGCTGCTTTTATTATCGAATTAGGCCCTATAGTCACCTTTTGTGATTTTATTGTTAACACATCAGGTAAATAGAAAACAGACTATGAAAAACAAGTGTCACTAGATTTTAGAAATTTCTTAGTCGAGATTAATTTAACTACACTTAGAGAACAAGAACAGACGTGATAAGATTTTAAAAATACCCATTGTATTCAAACTAATCTAATTTTTCTGTGTTTTTCATTTACACCAAGTCAAAGTGCTTTTTTTGTGATAAACGCTCTGTAACACACGTCTCGGAATGCAAATGTTTTTTGTATGATTTAAGTAAGAAGACTAAGAGTGGGTGTTTATGATTGCGGCCTATCAATTAATTATGAAATTAACCAATATCAAGATTCATTAACAAAGTTTGTTTTTTCCAAAATGATTAAAGAAAAATCAAGATGATAAATATTTTAATAATAATAATAATAATAATAATAATAATAATAATAATAATAATAATAATAAATTATTCTTAGATATGAATTCGTGTAAAAATTTATTAACTGGTCGTGGCCCAACATGACATTGAACTCGGTTAACGACAGTTACATACGATCATTTATTTACTTACCTATCATTGTGCCAACAATAAGTGTAATTCCCGACAAGAGTCCCACATTTTTCTTTAATTTCACTGTTTCTTCTCCCATTTTCACCGATCGATTGAGTCTAAATTTCAACTGCAATCGTAGTTCCTTCGTGTGTCTAGAAAGATGTGACTGTTATTGGCAGACAGACCTGTCTCAATATGTGAGTGTGGGTGTGAGTAAAACTAAACAACTCTGCCTCGGAGAGGGAAAGGAGAAACGTAAGAAGAGACATAAGATGAATGTATCGTGAAAGAACACTCATTATTTCGTTGTGACAGGCGAAAAACGCATGTTTTAACAAACAGAAGCTACAAGAATTAATTACAAATCTTATTATTTTTACTAAAATCTTTATGGATAACTGATGATAATTCACAAACATGTGAATTAACATTTAACAATAACATGATTTCTACGTTAAGGAAGTGCTTCTAAAAAGTATTGAATATCGTATCTCGTGACAACAGAACATGGGTTTTAAAGCACATGAACTTATACGTTTGCATGGGTTATATTAGCTTTCAGCATCTTTATTTTCATTTTTTTTATCGGCTTTAGTTTTAATTTAATGAGACCTACTTCTACAAAAAATGAGTACTCAATGATTTAATTTTTCAAGGCATGTCTTACTTTTTAAGAGGACCCTTTTTAATAAAGAATAAATCATGAAATAAAATAGTGAAATTTAAATACAAGGAAAAATGTTGTTAGGAGTAATCATGTCAAAAAAGTTTGTTTGGTGATCAAATGTTTACCATTATTAAATAATAGACACTTCCGATTGGTCAATAAGTTTTCGCCTCACTGTCAAAAACACCTAAAATGGGCGGAGGAAACAGAGAGTTTGTTCAATGAAAATTTTCATAAGCAACGAATATACTCTCTATCAGCAATAAAAGAGGAAATAATAATAAAAATAAAAGAATGGACACTTTTCAGTTTTTGTTTTTAAAATTACTTTCAAGTTGGATACATCTTATCGGAATACCGAGAACAAATGAAAATTAAAAGTGTTTCAACTGAATTTAACAATCTTTTCTAGGGGAAAACTGTGTGCATATTGTATTAGGACATTGTCCAAATATTTCTCATAAATGTTTATAAAAATAATTTTTATTTAGAAACTTTTGTAAACATTCTTGAAATTTATAAGATATCCAATACTGACTTATGACAAGTTACTTGTTGCTATTTGTTTTAAAAAAAGTGAGTCATTGACCTTTTCCAAATTCCAAATGAGCAAAACAAGCAAAAAACAAAAATATATATATATATATATATATATATATATATATATATATATATATATATATATATATATATTTGTTGTTGCTGTTGTTTAAACCTGTTGGAGATTTAAGTAAGCGAAGCAGAATATAAATTAATCATAATGCTGGGAAAAATGTTCTCATCTCATGTAGAAGCGTTCATTCTGAGTATAGTTGTAGTTGAAAGAGTTTTCTGATCAAAATTTAAATGTAATTAAAATCAATCGCCGTACGTTGACTTTAAAGTTAAATATATTTTACTGCGACTATAAAATTCAGGAACTCTGGAATATTCTTTTGGGGGCGTAAAACAAAAGTTATAAATTTATTTGAACATTTTTTGAAATCACTGTTTCTCTATCCTTCACATTTTGTACATGGCATGTTTCATTGGCTTCTTCAGGGGATAAAAATAAAAATAAATACTTCTTAATTCTGTCAGCACCAGTAAGTGTACTCTCTCCATAAAAAGCTTACAAATACTTACTCGGTATGATACAAAGTTACAAAGTAAAGACTGTAATTGAAAGTCAAACTTACAGGTAGATAAACTTTGATTACTGTTGCAAAATACAAGAAAGAAACTAAAATATTTTGCTATAGAAAATCGCTTATTGTCCGTGGAACTCTCTTCTAGTTTCCCTGTCAACTATAATCTTCAATAATTGAATGCAACGTCAATTGACATTTTCTGTCTTTATCTGTTCCTTTATTGTCCTTTCTCCCCAATAACGTTTTCTCGGATTCTTTCATTTCAGTAACCCTTTATGTCTTACTGGCTCTATAGCGTTATTTGGCGTGAAATTATAAAAAAAAAAAAATCTCCAAGTATACCATAATCGTTTGACAGTGAGCGAGGAAATAATTATCTTGTAACTTCATTATCTGCCGGAGTAATTACAGAAAAATACTTAAACATCAAAAGTTAACCATGACTGAATATAAAACTACCAAAAGTTTTTTTAATCTTCATAATCTCCATTCCTGTCCTTTCCTCTTTCACTCATATCACACTTTATTCATCAGAACCATTTTAGCAGTAACCCTCTACTTGGAGTGGCTCTAGAGCCTTGTATTGAGTGAACTTTATTATAAAAATTCCTTTAATTCCTTAACCGAACTTGTAGAAAGGTAAATTGTGACTCTCCCAAAAATCATTGTTAATTTATTCATCATGAAATGACTACATTATGAAAATTGTTCTGATTGATAAAAGCACATTGTTTTTAGTGAGATTGTCGATATACTGATGTGACAAAGTTGAATCAATTTAGCAAACATAGAAATTAACTTTGAAATCTAAAACAACGGCACACTTCTTTTATTTTAATGACCGTGTAATAAACAAACACAATATTTTTCTCTTAATTTGTTGATTCATAACTTCAAATTTTGAGGATTCTTTCAGCAAATCTTTCCGGGCAATTTTCTAATGCAATTGCTCTTTACGTTACTTCCAAAAATCTTACTTCCAAATCTTGCTCTCTATCCCTCTCTCTCCCTCCTCCTCTCTTTCAGCGTCTGATTTGATTTTTCTTTAAATCTGTTAAAAAACAGACAACAGTGGAAACGTTTCGTCAGCCATATCTGCATGATTGATGCAAATATACACGCACCATTTCAGGGGAATATTTGAAGTATTTTTGAAGTTAATAGAGATAGATTTATTTAATTTATTTATTTATTTTGCTTGTACAGTCAGTCAATAGTGGTAAGTCGTTAACAAGACTTAAGAAAAGATGAGAATTAACTTACAGAAAAGATTGATCAGCGTTTTAAAATCTGTTTTCTTGCACGACACAGAAAAATAAGTTTTGTACAAGATATTTACTGGTGATAACGAAGAAAAGTGTGTTGAAATCTAAGGCAGCTTACCTACAACATCTCAGCCTATTGGCATGGGAAGTCGATTTATTTGGTGGAATAAAAAGTGACTGGCAGATTTAAGTCTTAAGCAGTCTGATGTTCAGTGATGATTGCATGATTCACCATGTCGTATTCATTTCTGCGTTCATACTGATATATATATATATATATATATATATATATATATATATATATATATATATATATATATATATATATATGTGTGTGTGTGTGTGTGTGTGTGTGTATATATATATATATATATATATATATGTATGTATGTATGTATGTATAAAATTAGAAAGAAAATTAGTAACAGCGTAGGTTCAAGGCTAGATCTTGAAGGATTACTTTTAAGTTAACTTACAAAAAATAAAAACGGGCGATTTCCGCAGCCGAGCTTAAAAAACTGAAAGAAATAAAAATTCACAGAAAACTTCGAAGATATTTGAATTACAAAAACAAAAGATTCAAACGATCTAAAAATCAGCTTCTGAACCCTTCCAATTTCCATAACATGGGCAGCTAGAAAAACACACGGCTTTTTTTGATAGGGAAATAAACCCTCTGACCTTAACCAGTTTTGACAAAGTTATAATGTCGTCAGTCTATTTTTGTCCTACAATCTAGTTAATAATTTTGAAGATGTGTCTAGCAATCCTATGGAAGTGTTTTTTTTTTTTTTAAATGAGTAGTTTATTTATTGTTTTCTTTTTGTTTTACATTTTACGTTTTTACTCTTCTTCGTTATCTAATCAATTTATTCACTTCTTTTTTATATTTCGAAATACATTGTATATACAGTGTAACCCGGATATAAGAGAAACCCGGATATAAGAGAAACCCGGATATAAGAGATATTTTCTCTGGTCCCAAATTAGAGCCTGTGTTACCTAAACAAAATAGACCAAACCCGGATATAAGAGAAACCCGGATATAAGAGACTTCTTCTCCGGTCCAGACAACTCTCTTACACTGTATAACTACATGACTGGTATTTTAATAAACATACACTTAAGTAAATGTAACAAATACCGAACATAGCAATTACAGGTAATGAGTATATTTAGGAACTTAAAAAGTCTATACACCATTACAGTAGTAAGTGTAATTTGAAGTTTAAAAATTCTATATTTCATGTTAAAAATGTCTTTTTATTTTCACTTTCGAGCATTGTGCAATGTTTTGTAACCTACTTCATGTAATCGACTAGAGAGAGAGAGAGAGAGAGAGAGAGAGAGAGAGAGAGAGTGAGTGAGTGAGTGAGTGAGTGAGAGAGAGTCAAGAATTTTAAAGTAAGAAATTTTAATCAGCGACTATGTTCAAAAGTTGTTTAGGTTACTACCGGTAAAGTGTAAAGAGCAAAATCAAACGTTTCTGTAACAGATTCCCAGGGACCAAACTATACGTGCTTATAGAGAAAATCTCTCAAATATGGTCATTTCAACAGGCGATAGAAGAAAGCGAAAAACAGTTACAAAAAATTATGCAATACAAAAATTACAAAAATTATGCAATAAGAAGATAAAGATCATGTCTATAGTTATTATAGGAATTGAAAAATTTAGAAAATCCAGTTCGACCTTAAACAATCTTGAATATGACCCATGAACGCATACGAGTTTTGAAGAAATTTCATACAGTTTGAACTCCAGTGATTGACACCAGTAATAGTGTTCCCATATATTTTTAATTATTTTAAATACCATAATCCCTTCAGGACGTAAAAGACCATGACTCTCCTCAGATAACTATTTCTTTATTATTTTGGAATTGCCTTATTAGGAAAGATAGTGGAGTGGTTTCTTGCTACTTTCTTCACTATTTGGAATTCAAAGCTTCTTTTCTTTTAAACTGGTTTCCATCCAAGACTAATGAGCCTAATCTACCCTGCTATTTGACCCATAGGGTGGGGGAAAAGAGACA